TTGTCATTAAGAGCATTAGTGACAAGGGTTTTATTAACGATTTAAATTTTATCACTAATAATAATTTGTAACGAAAAATAAAGATTTAATGATCAATAATTTAGTCACTAAATATGAATTTTTTGGTAGTGATGAGAGAGTCAAGATGATATTTCATGGAAGATGCATAGCAGATACTAGTGAAATGAAGGTTAAGGCCAACTGTTGTTCCTTCTTCCATTTTTTTTTCCCACTGTCGTTCCTCTAATATAAAAACAAATGTTGAATTTAAATCTTTTATTTTTATTTTGGTTTTTTGTCTTGATTTTATTTAATTTATATTTTAAAGATAACATATTAAATTTATTTTAATCTTTTTATGCAGTTGGGCTTTGGTGGGCCCCACCAAGCCCGAAGATGGGTCGAGTTCTGGGGTGACGTGGCCGTTGATTGCGTCGGAGAAACTAGTCCTGGTTTTCGGGTTCATCGCCGGAAAGGTACTTCGAAATGTCGAGTTCTGAAATTCCCAAATGGATCTAGGAGCACATTGAACAAATCGGGTCGGTTCTGAGAGAGGGCGGGTGGGATGAGACCTATATACCGGACATCTTCGACGTCTCAACTTCAGGATTTTTTGGAGACAAAATGGTTTTGCTGGACAATCAAGCCGTCCTCGATGCGCTTCTTCTCAAAGCCAACCGGCTGTCAGAATCTTTTCAGAAAGGCGGTTGGAGCTGCGAAGAGGTCTCGGATGCTTCAAGGTTTGATTTAAGACCGGAGAAAGAGAGAAAACCGGCGAAGAAGTTTCTCGCCTGAACACGTTGAAAAAATGAAACAACTGACAGAATCGGTTTCCCGATGATAGTAGGCGTCAAATTTCCATTTTCTTTTCTTTTTATTCTTTATTTTTTTAAAAGAAATTTCTCAAGTTCTCGAATTTGGGTTTTTCCCGATTTTAGATAGAATATTTTAAAAATTATGCGAAAACGCGTTGTACCATACGAGAGATGCATGAAAAACAGAGAGTGGAGATTATATGATTGTTCGTATGTATAAATAATTAATGAAAAATACAACAGCTAATTTTGAATTTTTTGTTGATTTTTGTCTCCAACTCATATTTATTTATTTTTAAAAAATTTCTTGAAACTATTGATTAAATTTATTTAAAGTAATTTTTATATTTAAGAATTTGACTAATATGTATAACTATAAGTTAAATATGTATTAATTATATTTTTTATATTTAATTATTGTAATAAAATATTATATTTTTATTTTTATCATTAATATCACATGTACATTGTTATTTTAATTTTTAATTTTTCAAGATAAATTAATTACAAAAAATACAATAAATATATTTCTACTTTTAAGACATATGTTAAAAATTCTTTTTATTTAATGGTCAAAACATTTGAATTAGTTTGTATGTATTTTAAAATTAATTTTTCTTAAATGCAGTCAAGGAAAACTATTTATGTCGAAACTCTAAGAAATTCAAGAGAAAGGCAAAAGGTGCAGATTTCTACATAAAATTATTATGTTGAAATAAATTATTATTTAAAAAATATTGATGTAATTTGTCATTTTAAATTTTTATTTTTCAAAATTGATTCAAATTTGATTATTACTATTACCATTTCATTGGATTTTGTTACTTTAAATTTTTATTTTCCAAAATTGATTCAAATTTGATTATTACTATTACCATTTCATTGGATTTTGTTACTTTAAATTTTTGTTTTCCAAAATTGATACAAATTTAATTATTACTATTACCATTTCATTGGATTTCAAAAATAATAATTTAATGGTAACTATAAAATTTAAACCAATATCCTAAAAAAATATAAATTTAGAGTGATAAATTGTATTAATAATTTTTTTAAATGATAATTTACTTTGACATAATAATTTTAAAAGACAATTTACCTATTTAACTTAAGAGAAATTAACATTTTATAATTTTTTTAAAAATTAAATATTAATTTATAAAATAAACAATAAATTTCATTGTTAGCTAACCTACAATACAACTCCATATTTAATTGGAGTATCAGTTGTGTGGTGCTGAACTGGCTCAGCTTTTTGACGTGGCAATGGGTTGGGCCCACCAAAGTCCAACCGTAAAAAAATTAAAAAAGATTTGGGCCTTTGAGCATTTGGTACTTAACTGTCAATAAACTGTACATTATAACAAAATTGGGCGAAACTTGGACGGAGAGACAACATTGAGACATTTTCTAATAATAATAAAAAGGACATGCACGGTTAATTAACAGTAAAGGGAGGACATGAGGTGAATTTTTTTTTTTACAGGAAAAAATGATTAAATTAAACATTAGTATTTATTATTTTATAAAAAGATCAAATTTTGAAACTGATTGTATTCTATTTACTGCCTATAAGCAGTGTGGTCACCATGGGTCACATGGGATTGCAGAACATGAGGTGAATTTAAAGTAAAAAATTTAAATTAAACCTTTTTTTTTTTAACAGGTTAATAAGGGGTTAGATCGAACCCAATCCAAGAGAGGGGAGAGTGCACCTTGAAGTGGTTATTGTCATTTGCCCGAAGGCTCGGTGCTAAATTAAACCTTTTTGTATAGTAAAAGGACGAGAGTTGGCATTAACCGTGTGAAATGAATATACAAATTGTCAGAAGATAATGGATGATCTTCACACTGACACCAATCACTGAACCATAACCAAAGGTTTGCAAGGTACGGAATGTAAGTCTTGCAGTTAGAGCACAAGCTGAATAAGTGCTGCAACCTTAAGATAGCATATTTAGGGATTAGTTTTAAATTGCATGAAATTGAGGTAATTTATTGTAACTATCAGAAAAAATTATTGAAGAGTGATTTAGTAGTGAAATTATTTGCTAAGTAGCTATTACAAACGTTATCATTTTCTTACATTCCAAATGACAACAGATAACAACATGGTTAGAACTTTTGGGTCAAGATTATATAAGTGCAAGACATTAATTGTGCAACAAATTAATATTAATATATAGGTTCTATTCTCCATCAGCAGGGACGGAACCAGAAAATTCGATTAGGGGGGCAAGAATTATTATTGAAAATTTGACCCTTTAAGTATTTTGTAAGATACTAATTTATTTTTTTGAAAATCCTTTTTTATTAGTCTTTTTCATTAATATATTCTTAAAAAAAGATATGAATGTATTTGTTAAAACAAAAAATAAAATATCACAATAATAAATTATGTAATGATCAATTAAAAAATAAATAAATAAAGAAACATATTTGTTAGCCAAATCCCTAAAAAATGAAGGAAAACACTAAAAAATTATATTACTTTAATAAACTTGTATTGAAAAAGATAAAAACAATATATTTTTTTAAAAAAAGAATGAAAGTCAACTGGTTTTATTGAAATAACATAGTTTTGGTTTGTTTTTCCTTTTAATTTTTTTGGAATTTATATTAATAAACACAAATATTATAATTAAACAAATGTTACAATATTTCTTTTAAAAAGTGAAGTTTAACTTAGATTGATTTAACATAAAAAAACATAATTATAAATTCAATCATGAAAGGTAAAAACCTGTAGCGATACCAAATAAACAAAGACTTTAAATTATTATATAAAATATTAAGAAAGATAAAAAAAATACTAAAGAAAATTATAAATTTGAAGTTATTTAAATAAAGAATTAAAGTTTTTTTTATTTAAGCTTAATAAATGAAGAAATATTTAAGAACCCTAATTCTAAATTAATTAAATTAATATAAAGTTCATTTCATTTTGAATCATATTCTTACTTTTTGAAAACTCGTCATTTAAATTCTAAATATTTTCTCTACGTATAGAATGGTTATTGAAATTCATACTATAAAAACAAAGTTTTTAACAAATAAAAGTTAGAGTACCATATTAAATGTTTTTCAAAAGTTTAGGGGAGGTGGCTGCCCCCATTGTCCTTCGTTGGCTCCGTCCGTGTCCATCAGCAAGTATCGAAAGAAATGTACAACAAAAAATGCAAGGACAAGTTGAAACCTGTAACCTTTACAGTCATCTTCCAAAAAAAAAATTAGTAGTTAATGGGCCTGAATTGGCAGTGTGAAATCCATCACAGTTGTAGAGAGGCCAATTTCTGTGAAGATTGGCTTGCTTCCAATATTCTTTATTTTATTTATTTTTAATTTAATTATTTATTTAAATAAGAAAAAAGAATAAAAAAGAAATAATTTTCCACTTCTCTCTTCTCATCTTCTTCATTCTCTTGACTTAAATATAAAGTTGGAGAAATGTTAAAAGATCCATATGTTTTTTACGGTTAAGTACCGTACGAGTAAAAAAAAAAAAACAGTAATACTTATTGTGAAAACCACACCGTTTTGTCTGAAACAGACATAAACCGCACCCTCCATCAACTTGCAGATAACGGACAGAAGACAAATACCGTCCGTTACCTTCTCCATTTCCTTTCATGATTATCGAATGGTCCCTCTTTTTGAAAATTATAAATTCATTTTTTTTTTCATTAGATAGTTTCTTAGTGTTAATTTAAATCTTTTTTTTATCAGTGTGTTAATTTAAATCTTAATACTTTAAAAACTAAATCCTACAAATTTAAATTACCCCAACA